CCCCAAAACCCCAAAACCCCAAAACCCCAAAACCCCTACTAAAAAAGTTTCGCTTGAAATAGACCAAAACATAAATCTAACAGAAGATCAACTACAACAAAAGTTCAATGAATTCTTAAAAATGCAGATGAAGAGTAAGAATGCTGATAAACCTGACCCAGAGCCTCAAAAAGAAACATTACAAGGAATTTTCAACTCAGTCGCTCCTCTTACTGAGGTTTCGTCAAACCTTCCAGCTCCATCAGCCAAAAAGGATCCTACTAAAAAGCGCATTGAGAAACAAGTTGAAAAAGTTCTTGAAGATTTCAAACAGAAGAAAGACCAACATTTCCAACGATCCTCTGTTCAAGCCCAACAAGAAAGATTAGAAAATACTAAGGATATGCTACAAAAAGAGTTATCCTTCATTAAGGATCCTAACCAGATCCAGATAACTATCTATTACCTAAGGCAAAGGAATCCTGTGAAGGATATCCCTGAGACGCTAGAGGAGATGAACCAAATAATCCTTCAAAATATCCGGTCAAGCAGCGGGGTCCCTATCACACTTGACGACTTATCGATGTACTATTATGACAATGACAAAGATAGATGCCTTATTGAGAATCAGGAAGATCTAGAAGTTGCTTACCAACTTGCGAAGAAAGCTAAGCCCCAGCATCTCAAAATTATCCTAAATATCAAAAGAGGACTGAAGAAAAAGGAAAATAAATGCAATGATTCCTCAGAAGATGACGACGCTTATAAAGGAAATCATGACCAAAAGCATGACTCAGACTCTACTGATAGTGAAGATGCAACAAATGAGATATTCTGACTCAAGGAATGTCTAAAACGAACAGAAAGGATCATGAGAGATGGCTATTGATACTGGTCACTTTCTCCTATAAAAGCGAGTATGATTAACAAAAGACAACATTTAAAACTTTTTCGATGTGAAGAGTACTCAAGGAAGAAATGCCAAGGTACTTGGGCTACTAATCCATTACTTTTCAATGGAGAGTATGGAAAGCTTGTCTGAAATCATAATATTCCACATGGAGAGCATAAAAGTATCACATCTCAAACTGTAGTTGAAAAGTATGCTAAAACCCTTGGGGTTAGCTCTTGAGGAAGTGATCAAATAATAGATAAACAAGAAGTATTGCAGTTAATTGAGCATCTTGCAATGCAGGATATTAGTTTAACTACTAATCAAATCATACCAGTTATTAAGAGAATGTTTCCAAATGCAGAGATGGTTTCAAAGAGGCAAATAGCTGCTAGGTTAACAAGAGTCAGAGGAACTAAAGTTAATGCTTCATGGCAACCTGCTCAATATTATGTGAATTGAATTAAAACATACAGAAATACACCGTTTGCAAGGAATAATTCAATGTCTCTGATTGATGGAATGACAAAGCACTTCTTATACTTTTATTCTGATTTCCAAGAGAAAGTTATATATGAGGTTAGAGATGATCCAAACCTTCATATCTTCTTTGATGGAACCTTCAAATGATGCCCAAAAATATGGAGTCAACTGTTTAATATTTGAGTATTTCATCGGGGAAAGAATCTCTACATTCCTGTAGTTCATGTTCTCATGCAGACAGAGAAGTATGAAGGATACAAAACTGTGTTTAAATGGTTCCAAAATATTTTCAATCTTAGGCCAAAATTCGTCACTTGAGATTTTGAGCTGAGCTTGATAAGATGAATGAAAGAGACATACCCAGATGCGATGATAGTCCCTTGATTTTTCCATTTTGCAAAATGACTTTGGACAAATGGAGCTAAGTGTGGACTCAGAAAAACAAACATGCTTCCATTGACGAAGCAGCTAATGTTCTCTCTGAAAGGATTAGCCTTTAGAAGATCAGCTTCAGTTTACCGTAGATTTGAATGGCTCAAGGAGAATTGCATCAAGAAGTGATCAAACTTTAAAGCTTTCTTTGAATACTTTGAACACACCTGGATGGATGGTATCTTCAAGATCCAAGATTGGAATTACCATGATAAGATACAGCACTTTGAAGATCTAGCTGTTACAAACAACGGACTTGAGTCCTTCCATCAGATGATAAAATCTCAGTTACGAAGAATTAAGCCAAACTTTGCTGGACTCGTAGACATTCTATGTCAAGTAGAAATGCTCAAGAAGCAAGCTTATGATGAAGATAAAATTAACGGTAACCAAGAATTCAATAGGTGATGGCCGTCATCGACAATTTTCAGAGAGCTTTATTCCAAAGAAAAAGCTAATGAAGAAGCTGAAGAAGATAAAGATCATTCTAAAGAATCCGCTTCAGAACTTTTAAATAAAAATCCTTGTCCCGATTATGGCCTTAAAGATCTTGAACAGCTGAAGAAAAAGAATCCAAATCTTTATAAAGAAAAGCTAAAAAGCCAAGAAAGAGACATCAATTTCTTGTTTGAAGATTTTGACGAAGAGGCTTCTCTGTTGAAAACTGATCTAGGAATGATAAAATATAACAAGCTTACAAAAGAGCTACATGATAATAAATCAGTTGACCCAGATGATTCTAACTCTAAAGGAATTATGTATGATTATTTTACAAAAAATCACTCAAGCATGATCAAACAGTTCAAATCTTTGGAACAATTCAAACCGACTACAATAACATATGGAGAAGGGCCTATCACTGAAGAATTTTTGCTACAAATAAAAGAAGACGAGAACCAGCTCCAAGAATTCCTCGATGGCGATTCCAAATTCACTCCTGCTCCAAGAAGACCTTACACTGACCATAAGATATAAAATATTTTAAAATTTTCAATTTTTGTCCAAATCTAAGGGGTTTTGGGGTTTTGGGGTTTTGGGG